CTCAGTATCCCTGTACCTTTTGCAAATAACATTTTAAAACTCTCCTTAAATTTTTTTTTCTGTTTGTTGTATCAACACAAAACACCAACATGTGGCTCTTGAGCTTGAGCAGCTTACCGGAGCGGTTATTTGGGGATGTCCTGACAGGAGAGACGGAGGGAGTTCGGGATGAGGAGTAGGGCCTCTGCCTGTCTCGCTCTATTGTTGAAGCAGAACCCACAAAGTGATGCTGGGAGTAACCGTCCTACAAAAACCAACAGAAAAAAAGAAAACACATTGGCTAACTTTACACATAATTTAATAGTAACTGAATTTTATCATATCAATTATTTTTTTTGACATCATCAGATCATTTTAGAAGAGCCACAGTGAATTTCACTGGTCTTTTTTCAGAACCTGCACTATAAGGATCCGTTTTGAGTGACTCAAGCGCTCAGCTCTGATTTGGAGCATTCATACCTGGATGGAATAGAAGGATGGAAATGACCCACTCTGTCTTCATATAGATGATGTTTCTGATTCAGACATCTGAACTACATGATTATTTTGCTATTAAYGTGGTTCACAGCCCAGTGTGTCACATTTAATTTAATAAGCTTAATTAGAAGACGTGATGTGAAATAAATAAAGGAGCATAAGTGATTAGTGAAGATAGAGAGCTCTGTTTCAGAGCAAAGATTTCAACACAGCACATTAAAGTGCCTGTGAGATGCATATTCTTCAAATACAAAAAGTAAAATAAAACCATCTTYATTTTTAAGAAAGTTGGAATAATAYACATKATTTAACCCATTTTGTCCCACAACTGGCATATTTTATTTTGAAATTGGCTCAGTTAAAGTGTAACAGGAAGTGACATCAAAGGGGAACACTTTAACAAAGAAAACTCTCTGGTTTTTGTTTATAGAAACAATAATATTTGAACTCTGACTCTTCATCTCTCTCTGATAGTGACTCATAATCTTAAACATCAGATTCTTCTCTACAGTCTGGGTTGTTGGCTGTTGTAGCAACCCCTTTGACATCACTTCCTGTTACTTCACAGGCAAATATCTCAAAAACYTTTCATGTCAGCGACAYRAAATTTCTTTTGCAATATTTTATCAATGTCCTCTTTCTAAAAATGCATCCATATGTTTTACAAAAAATTGACGTCACAGGCACTTTAAAGCTTACAGTGACCACAGAGGGTCCAAAAACAATCAGAACAAACATTAAAGCAAAGAAATAATTTCCACATTATGACCTGTTAATACACTCTGATTAATAAATTATAACAAAAATTCGATTTTCATTAAGAAGATAAACTGTTCATTGTAAAATGTAGACAAAAAAATAAAACTAAACAATGAAAAAGGCCTTTCTTCTGCTTATTCTGAATGGAATCCAATAGCTGAGGATGGGTTATCAAGACAGGATGTTCCATACCAACATTTTATTTAAATAAAAATCCATGTTTGAACAATTGACCAAAGTTTAACAYGAAAGGGTCAAATTCTTTAACTTCATAACATTCTGTTGAGCAGATATTTCCACTTCCTGTGGATGAAATCACCCAAGCTACAATGAGAGTTGGTTTAAACATCACTTTGATTAGCATGCAGTAGGAGGTGGCACTTCAACAATGACTTCAACTCTGATTCAGCACTGACGAATCACACAATTCTATTTATAGTCCTGTGGGCTGGAGATAAAGCCCTCCATGTAACTTTGTCACAGCTCCACAAAGGCACCAAAGTGTTTCAAGAATTAAACTGCAGGCTTATGGACAAACAAAAAGTGCAAATGTGCAAAGCAATTGCAATAGAAGCTCTTTTCAAAAGAAGCAGATTATGAGCRTCAACGATAATTACGGAGCTGGAACCAAATTTAATTTAGCCTTAAGATAATTGGCTACCTCCAAAAAACAAAGCACAGGCGGCGGACAGCAGATAACATCAGAGGGAAAGTGGTCACTGTGAGAATGGGAACATGAGAGAGGAGAAATCACTTCAGGAGAATGAGGCTGGAGAGGAGGACATGTAGGGGGAGGAGACAACTGAGAGACAGAGGAGAGGAGGCAGAGAGAGCAGGCGGCAGGACAGGAAGAGACAAAAGATGACAAAAAGTAATGAGAGAAAGGAAGAGGAGGAGGAGGGATGACAGGAAAGAGGATGAGAAGTAGTACAGCATGCAGAAAGAGGTATGGACACAGCCTGAGAGGGAAAAGTGGGCACAACCCTTCTTTCTGGCGGTAATAATAATAAAAAAAAATAGACCTCGTGACCCAAAGTAGATCAAAGGTAGTCTCGACCATTCGCCCCTCATTTTCCTTTCTTCTATTTATTCAGCAGTCCTCCACTCACCTTTTTCCATATCCCAACTCCCGCAGCCCAACAAATCTCATTAAAGACAATGTAACCTCCTGATGGCAGTGTGAACYGCTGTGCGGCTGGATACTGTCAGTCTGTCATGCTGCTCAGCTGAACACGCTGGGCTCTGAATACTGAAGACGGATGTATGGATGAGCGACACACAAGCTGAGACAGAGTCCTGGAACCAGCCAGAGGCTTTCTTGAGCAAAAGAAGCAAAATAGCAACATCTGAACCCTCAAATTATTGCAGTCTTCTATGAGAAGGGAGCTGAAAATAACATTTCCACTTTTGAAACTGACACAAATCTGAACTTGTTCTTTTTTCTCCTCCTGAGCTCAGTGACTAAAAAGTTTCATAGGACCCATTTCAGACTAAACGTAGACAAATATCACACTGCCTTGCAACACGAACTTTAAACTGAACATGTTTCTGGTGGAATAATAAAAATATAAACCCAAAATATACTCAAATAACCTGCCCACAATCCACTTATAGCAATGTTTTACCTGATGTAACAACTAAACTTTTTTTACGATTAGCAAGAGCAAACAAAAAGAATTACAGGAACCACTTTTGTTAAGTAATTTTCTTGTAAATTTAAATAACTTCCCAACTTCATTAGAATTGGGGTTGTAGCATTCTGGATGTTAATAACAACATTTGTAATAAGGGGACCCAAGCTTATAATCCAGCTTTGACTTTAAAGTTCCTTAAAATGCAAAAAAAAAAAAAAAAAAAAAAAAAAAAAAAAAAAGGACCAAATGGTCAAGCCTGTACTTGCAAGCATTTTTTTTTGTAGATGTAGATGTATATTTTAATTTATGGAAATGTTTTCAGAAAAATATACTGACTTGAAATTTGTTACCATAAAAAGAATGTGGTTGCATATTTCTGCAATTTTTGCTGCAATAAAAAAAAATCAAYAAAGCAAAAAGTATTTTTAGTCTCGACTGGAAGATCCTTTCTGTAGAGACTGAACTGAAGGTAATTTTGACCTGATTTCAAAATTTACAATGTCATTTATGTGCGTTTAAATGTAATTGCTGAAAATAACGCAGGAGTTTAATCTGTTCTTGCCTTCCTACGCAGTTTCACTCGATTYTAGTTTCCCTTCACTGCTCTGACTGGGATTTCTCCCACAAACAAGGATTTCTTTGGGAGCATTTCATTTGGGCCAATCAGAGAACAGAATGTCGATTTTCTGCGCAGTGTCTCCTTGTAGTTTATTTTTACCTGGGCCAATCAGCAAACAGAAGGCGGAGTTTTGAACAATGTCGATTTTCTGCGCAGTGTCTGCTAGTTATTTTAGCATACGGCAGTGAAGGAAGTGAATGAAGCCAGTCCGTGTTGATAAGGCTTCCGAATTAAATTAAATTTGTCTGACAAAGCAGCAGCTCTCATTTACAGTCATCTCGTTCAGCTCGGTACTTCTCTCCTCTCAGTAGGGTTGTTTACAGCAAACGCAATTTCCGGTTAGCTTCTTAGCTTAGCTTCCTTCACAACAACATACGTCGTGGCCAACAGATATCATTTTAAACTTCAGCAGAGGCCACGCCTCCAGCAATAATCGCTTTATAGCCGAGAGTCCAGACCCTCGTACGAAGCAAAGTGAAGGACAAGGGTCTGGTTTTTACCAGGCTAGTCATATCATGGCTTTGTTGAATTTGTTATGTGTTGTAATTGTTCCTAGCCAAATTGTAGCATAGTTGGAAAATTGATAAATTTAGGTTTTTCGTATAATAATACATCCTAAAATTATAAAAAAATATTTAGTGTTGGAAAAAAATGGGCAGAGAAGTAAGCCTTTTCTTAATTGAATTGATGTGGAACAGAAAAGATGCAGAGTTAAGTAAATCACAGTAAAAGCATTCCAATGTATTTTAGCACCAAAATATCCTTAATTGTTTTACAAATGATTCAATTAATGAATATGCAGTGAGCGTAATCCCCCCAATGGTAGACCTAAAGTTACACCCTTGGCTGCAGCCTCAGGATTACGAGACCACAGCACTGACCGCCAAGCTACTGTGGCTTAAAGCAAAAATTACGAAACACGAAACGTTTCCTAAAAATTAAAACAAGTACAAAAATCAATAACCACCAGAATAGTTAATACTCTATCCTGACGGAACCAGAGCGTTTCATTAAATGTGTTGCATCAACTGAGAGCGACTCAGACAAACAATTCTTTGAAAAGTGGTGGAATTTTAAATTAATTTCTGTCAGTTTGAATACCGCGCACAGATCAGCAGGGGATTTATGAGTCGGATAAATATTACACCCACATCAATATTTGATGTTGGAACTAAATCTGCCAATTGCTCCTGAACCAAATCCAGATTACAGTGGCGCTCCGTGCCAATCTGAAACACTTCAACGTACAGATGCACTCATTAGCTACAATGGCTCATTCTACAGTAAACTGATTAGTCTGGTTCTCACCTTTTCTACGCATCTCATCAGATTTTTTTCCCTCTCCTCCTTCCACCCACCTTCTCCTCTCCTTTTCTTTCAGCTCGTACTGTAAGAGGACAGAAGGAGTGTGGGTTTCTAGGCAACTGGTCTGCCTGTTGCTCTCGCCGTCACCGGCTAGTTGGCTGAAGGTCGCGGGACTAAAAAGCGATTAGTGCTTCAACAAATGAAGTGGGTGTGTGTGTGCTGGAGGGGGAGTGTGTGTGTGTGTGTGTGTGTGTGTGTGTGTGTGTGTGTGTGTGTGTGGTGGCACTCAAGCCAGAAAGCAATTATGGCACAAATTGTAAAAGGTTACTCGCAGCAAGCGGTGGATCCCCTCTGGGTCTCACCAACCACCGAACATCAGGGCTGTTCGATTCACGTCTTTTCCCACTCATTTCACACCTGATTCTCAGATTTACAGCTCTCAGTGTTTTA